CTACTGACACTTTCACCCTCCTGCTCACTTTACTGTTCTCATAGTAACAAGAAAGGTACCATTATTTAGAATCATTCTGCTAATAACTAGATGCCTATTTAGATCCATTGGGTAGAAAGAAAGAGTGAGAAGGAAGGGAGGAAGGAAGGAAGGAAGGAAAGAAGAAAGGAAGGAAAAATACAAGTATTCTGTTAAGTCAGAATTTATAAAGGAAGTTAGAAACATTTTGTTGTTTTTAGTAAACTTCAAAACCTGCAACTTAAGACCGACCAGGCTATAATACATCATATGTAATATGTCATTTTAAAGATAAAATGATACACTGAAAAATAATTCTGTTAAATATTAAGGAACTTATTTCAACGCAATTAGTAGATGCTTTAAATGAAGGAGAGAAACAAATACAGGTTGATAGTGCAAATAAATTTTAGGACACTCAGGATATCAACAAATACTCAAGGAAGTATATTGGGGCATTTTAAAAAATTAAACATAGCAAATTTAGTTTAGAAGTCTTCAGGGAAATATGATTCACAACACAGAACGCAGTGACTGCTGGTTCCTCAGACAGAAACCTCTCAGTAATAGCTCTGTGTATGCAATAGAAGCCCTCTTATTAGGAATCAGTTAGCTACATGGAAAAAAATGATTACATAAGAATTTCATGAAGATTAGTAATTGAACTTTAAACATATGAGGTGTTCATTCATCTGCCTATCTTCTGACATAAGGTTAAAGGCTTGTCTATTGTTTTTCTGAGTGTGGCTTCACTTGGAATTCCATCTTCTTATATTGTACTCATTTACTCTATGACTTCCAGCCTTTGTGCCTTTAAAATGGAGTCAAAGTTTAAAGCCATTTGCAGAGCACTTTTAGATGTCTATAATATCTGTTTTAGATGTTTTGAAACTATTCAACCATTTCTAGTGATTTGCCTTCATTTACTTTTTCACAAAACATTCAGCTTACTTTTCATAGAAATTCTTTTTTGCACTCATAATTTATTAGTTTGCATTATGATTAATAATTTCTATTCTAAATTATAACTAGCACAGCTAACACACACAGGCTTGGCTGGGTTTTCTCTGTTGCCGCCTATGACCCCAGGGGCTAGGCTAATGACTGGACATTTGACTGTTTGTGAAATGACAAATGAACGGTACATAACTCACTCTTCCTATGTATGTGACAGAACAGGTGGGCAAGAGGGGAAACACTTAGCTTAGAGCATTATCATGCTATGGGCCTCAGTCAGTATATTTTAGCGGGGGGTGGGGGGGGAAGAGGAGAATCAGTTATTACAGCAAACTGCTTTAATTAAATATCTAACTTGGCAACAACTCTTCCTTAAGAAAGGCATAGACTGAGCTCTCCAGCTAACTTTCCTCTAGGAATAAACCACCTTCCTCCATGCTAACCTGTGACTAATTTAACTCTCCATTGTCCAGAGAAGGTTTGCGAAACATCTGAAGCTGTGTGGGAGCCAAGCTCCTGAAGGGGGATTCGTAACATGTTCTCTCTTCAGTATTGCTTAGGACATTTGGAATCAATTAAATATTCAAATATAGATTTCCTCAGATCTCTAGCCAGGCCCAGCAAGTTTGGGAGGGGAGGAAGTTCAAGGCAGATAAATGCTACTCCTCACACCAAAATCTATAGCTGACGATTTAAAAAATATACTCTCTAAACTTCCTGGGTCTGTAAGCAAATAGGCAAGATTAGAAATGAGGAGGAGAAACAGCAGGAGCCTTAAGAAATAGGAGGTACAGTATACATGAGAACGGCTGCCTAAACCGTGTCTCAAACACAAATATTTGAGTACATTGGGATATTGCATAAGTACAACAGTATGTATGGCCTGTGCGCACTAAGAATGATTTTTACATTGGTAAAGGATTATAAAACAATGTGTGACACAGACTATATATGGCCTAATAACTTTAAATATTTATACTCTGGCCTTTTGTAAAATTGCTGACTCCTTGGTTTAGTTTTCTTTCCATCCTATGTACTAATATAAATATGACTCGCCCTACCAATTAAATGCTCTTTAGAACCTCACTCTATAAAAGTTACTCTGACCTCACCCCTTTTCAGAACAAGCTGTGTGAAACAGAAATCAGTATTTCAAAAGAAGAAGCCAATAGCCAACATGAAAATGGGTTTCCAACTCCATGATTCCAGGGTCTGGCACCTTACACACGGGTCTCTCACAATATTTCGCCGAGGTCAGGAGAAGTATCAGAACTGTGTGTTACTTATTTCTGTGCCCAGTGAAATGGTTGGAAGTCAGTGAGCGGAGGGAGAAAGAAGAGAGCAGCAGCAAAGGTTTACAAATCTTTCAAGTCTAAGTAGTCGTACTGTAGCTGTTAGTCCTCGACTCCATCAGATGCCGGGTGGGAAGGACATCTTCCAAATGGCAGCTCATTTTACCTTAATAGTTGGTGTTTCCAGATGAGTTTCTAGTTTTCCATCATGATAAATTAATATATCCTATTTTACTACGGTGCCACAAACAAGAACTCTGAAAGGCTCCGCTCTTACAAAAGGCCCAAATCCCCCCAAAAGCATCAGGTATCAAAATGCAGCCAGAAAAGATGGTATTAAAAGAAAAAAATATGGGCTCCTTTTTAATGAAGTCGAGGTGTAGGACAGATTTATTAGCTTCCATTTTTCCAAGTTGCGTTCTGGTGTATTTCCTGCCCGTACTTTTAAGTTCAGCAGATCTCTTTGCAGAATTATTTTTTTTTTTAATACTTTTCAAAGAACATGATGTGGCTATACACACTACACCTGCAGAGACACACCTGTGATGAGACAAACACAAAAGGTTCCTCACATTCACAGCCCAAGCTATAACAGAAAACAGACCCTCTGTGTGATCTGCCAAGATCCTGCCATTCTCAGAACTGACACTAGTAACCACATATTATAAAGTCTTACAAAACAAACCAAGATCACCCCTGACCAAAATGCTCATTCAATTTAGTGTAGTTCAGTCTATTCTTTACCATCATAATTCATTTTTCTAATATTAAGAGATGATTAAGACAAATAATTACTTTTGGTAACAGATGCCTACAACATTCATATGTAGACTCTACTTTTATGTCCACCTTGGATTCCTTATTATTCAAACATCATTACCATATGTTTATTGTGTGTCAGGTACTATACTTGATTCTTGAGGAAGGAAAACTAATACAAATACAGTAAAAAAAAAAAAAATCTTTCCTTGGAAAGTTTCTATCCCAATTGTCTAACTAGATTTGTGAACAAATAATCAGTGTAGTAAATCCCTAGTCAAGTTGCCAAGATCAATGAAAACGAAGTAGAAAGAGAATGAGTCCAACCTACAGGGACTGGAGATAGGAAGGGTAGGTAGTATTCCCAGTGAAAGGGAGAAGGGTATTTCAATTGAAAGAACAATGTAAAAACAGGCCAGGAGGTGAGTGTTTGGTCTACACTGAGGACAGGATTATCCAATGGAATAACTGGCGATGTGCTAAGACAGTGGTCAGCAAACTCATTAGTCAACAGAGCCAAATATCAACAGGACAATGATTGAAATTTCTTTTGAGAACCAAAATTTTTAAACTTAAACTTCTAATGCCACTTCTTCAAAATAGACTCACCCAGGCCATGGTATTTTGTGGAAGAGCCACATTGTTCTTTTGAGTTACCCAACAGTTCAGCATTTTGTGTGCTGTTTAAACTCACCTAACATTCTAACACAGTGGTCGGCAAACACATCAGTCCACAGAGCCAAGTATCAACAGTACAACCATTGAAATTTGAGAGCCGAACTTTTTCAACTTAAACTTCTTCTAATGCCACTTCTTCAAAATAGACTCGCCCAGGCCGTATTTTGTGGAAGAGCCACACTCAAGGGGCCAAAGAGCCAGATGTGGCTCGCGCGAACCACAGTTTGCCAACCAATGGGCTAAGAAATTAATTCGTCACTATGCACACGTGCCCATTTAAATTTAAGATTAGAAATTCAGTTCTCTGTCATATTTCAAGTACTCAAAAACCACGCCGAGTGTCCCGTAGTGGAGAGTGTAGAGAATTATCTCCATCCTTGTACAGTTCTATTGGACAGCACTGTGCAGAAGAGTACAAGCTAAGCCTGTGGCAGTTCATGGAGAATCTAAAATGTATACGAGTGTTCAAACTTTAAGTAGAAATCGTTTGTAAACTACTGTATTCTACAGGGTACCTTCAGAACTAGCCTGGGGAACTCCACCTGGGTATATTTCTATGGCCTGTTTTACTAATCCAGCTTCTGCATTTGAGAAAGATATTTTTTAAGAAAAAAATCTGCAGCTTAAAATAGATAGATAGGTAGGTAGGTAGATAGATAGAGAGATGATAGACAGACAGACAGGACGCTCACTGTTATGAATAACTGGAAAACCACTTAGGTTTTTAAGCAGTGAAGTGTCATCGAGACACAGATTTGGGTTTTAGAAATATAACTCTTACAACAACAAAAGAGAATGTGAGAAGAAAACCCACTTGATATTCCAAAATCAGTACAGGCTAATGACGTGGTAAGGACTAATTTCAGTGAAGCTTCTAAAGAAACAGACAATGAAGAATTTGCATCAGTAAATTTATTCCAAGTAAGGACTGCACACACAAACCAGGCATATTATATCCACAAAAACCAGCACTGCAACACAAATATTTAACACTTTGGTCATGAAAATCAGAGATAAAAACTTTTCAAGGTATCTATTTTAAGTAACTGCGTTCAATATTTGTAATCCAAGCATGTTCAATTACAATTTCTAAATTTTTTATATTTTTCCTTATTCATTATGACTATTGAATATTTACATCTTTTCTGAAATGATTTCCAAAATGTAACTTTTCATAACTTCAAAATAGCCATATGTACTTCTTAGTAAAACCAAAATGAGTAAGTAACAAGGGCTCAAGCCACCTGATCACAGATGTGAGATCCATTTTTTAAACGGCCCTTACACATCTTGTTCCTACTGTACTATGCCAACCATTACTTCACTGATATCCCAGAGTTTTCTTGCCACAGACTCATCCATGGCTATAGGCAATAGTTCTTCCTCTTTGCAATCCCCAAAGTACTTTCCTGACACACCTTCTACCTCTGGAGAAGAGGCTAAATAAATGGTAGTCTGCGCACCTTCTACTGGAGTTTTGAAAAATGCCCAAGACACCAAATTGAAAAGTGGTTTGACCAGCAGTGGAATGTGGATGTGTCTCCCCAGGTTAGTCCGCACAATGCCAGGGTGCAAGACATTGACAGTGACCTCTGTGCCTTCCAGGCGGCGGGCGAGCTCCCTGGTAAAGAGGATGTTGGCCAGTTTGCTGCGACTGTAGCAGAAGCTTTTATTATAACTTTGCTCGCTGTTCAAGTCTTCAAAGTTGATGTCCCCATATTTATAAAGTTTGGAAGAAACTACCACAATCCTGCTGGGCGCTGAACTTTTGAGTAGTCCCAGGAGCAGATTGGTGAGTAAAAAGTGGCCCAGATGGTTCACCCCAAACTGCATCTCAAACCCATCTTCGGTCTTCATGTAAGGGCACTGGAAGACCCCTGCGTTATTGATCAAGACGTCCAGTCTAGGCTCTTCCTGTAAACATCAAAGAGGGAACAGCAGAGTTAATGAACACAGGCCTTAACTGTACCAAAAATAAAAATAAGAAATGAAATTTCTTATGAGCTACTAAAATTCTATAAAATGTCTCCATCAATTTTCAACTATTGACAAAGAACTAAAACAGATTTGCATGCCCAATAGGGGCGTGGCCTTCTGCTTTTCTCGTGTTATCTCATCTAATCTCAACAACCTATAAGCAAACAGAAGCACAGAAGACCTGTGGTTTGTCCAGTGTCACAGACTTCCTAAGTGACAAACAAAAATATGAACATGGAAGTTTCCGATTCCAATGCCCGGGGGCTCTTAATGAGTAAGCCAGCTTGCTTTTCTAATTGGCATTTTCAAATGAGAAAAGCTAGAAAGTGGGTGAGAGCTGGAGAGTGGAAACACAGCAGAAAGAGGTCAGTCTTGTTTATTCCCAGAGCTATCAACACCAGGGGCAAGTTGGTATTGCTTCATTTTGTAGTTCTCTGAGGGTAAGTGGTACCCTGGGGATGGAGCAACTTCAAAGTGTTTCCTTAAAATCAGGACAAGCAATAGAGTAGGTCAGGGATGCAAATGAAGGCCAGACAACATCATAAATAAGTCCAAGAGATATCTTAAAAAATGATCCAGCCAAAACTGGTTTGGCTCAGTAGACCGAGCATCAGCCTGTGGACTGAAAGGTCCCAGGTTCGATTCCAGTCAAAGGCATGTACCTTGGTTGCAGGCACATCTTCAATAGGGGGTGTGCAGGAGGCAGCTGATTGATGTTTCTCTCTCATCGATGTTTCTAACTCTCAAAATAAAAAAAATTAAAAATTAAAAATGATCCAGATGATATAAAAATATCAGAAATAACAGTCTAAATACTAAGTCTTACAATGACAGCAAAGAAGATTAACAGAGAAGATAGGATCAACAAACACCTTAAACTCCACCATGACTGGAAGTCACAGTTCTTCCCTGTAGGATGAAACTACCTCTTTCAGGCTTCAACAGGCTCTCAACTTAGATCTCTACAGTCAGAACTTCGCACTGTGACCAGATCCTGCCGCATCTTTCCAGATTACATTTAGATTGTTCTTAAAGGGGCGTCTTTTCATTTTATAATTCGTGTTCAGTTGATTTTCTCCAGCCCTGCCTGGCTCCTCTGTCTCTTTTGATGGGCAGAGAAAAATAAATGTACAACATGTTCCAGGTGTAGAGACAGAAGGATGACCCACCATTGAATTAATTTGAGGTCAAATTTCAAATTTCACTGGCCCGTTTGCCAAGTGTAAGTGAAGAGAAAAATGTGTTAAATTTCACAACTGTATCAAAGCCTATCCGTCAGAGGATTAACTATTTCTCATTCTGTCTGTCTAAGCACCTTCCAGCTTTTCCAATAGTCAGCTTCAAAAAGAAGGCAAAAGTTCACCCGTGGGGGAAAGAAAGGAGTGTTCTCTTTCAGTAATCCTTTGGAAGAGTTTCCTGTATTAATCATTTTTGAGCCATCATTCTTTGCTGGACTTGTGTTATTTTAAGACTTTATCATCTACTATTTTTTTTTTTTTTAATTCTAAGAGATAAATGACATAAATACCAAGAATACCAACCTGTGGGAAATTTAATTTCCATTAAGAAAAAAATTCTGATTATGGTCACTGAACGTCAGAGCCAGGAAAAAACTTAATACTTAGAAGAAGGACAACTTCGTTCTCTCTTTATCTCAGCTTTTAATGGGCTCTGCTGCACGTGGCCAAAGAAATAACATACCAAGTGTATGGGGAATGAGAACACCAGCCACATCTACATTTCGATGGCAAAGAGGGAGACCCATTGTTAATATTTCCAACATCTCTTATGAGTATTAATTTCTTAATTTTAACCTGTTTTTTTTTCTTTCCTTCTAATAATGAAGTAGACATGAAAACAAACCAACGAACGCCCCCTAACCTCTCCAGATCTGCAACAGCTCCCAAACTGTGCAGCTGGATGCCCCAGAGGCACAAGGAACTCCCAGGATCGCCTGGAATATTTAAGTGCGCAAGGGAAACAAAGATACTCCGCTCAACATCTCAAAAACTAGTTTCAGGTGGCTCACAGCTTCACCATTACGCTGTGCTCTCTTCTCTCTGAGGATGCCACATCTTTGTGAAGCTGCGTTTAGCAGCTGCTGTAATCACGTGTGTGTACAGTGTTAGAAGCCAATGCGGAACAAGAAATGAAGGTGGCAAAGTCCAATCTGATCCCGAAGTCAGACAAGTGAACAACAGGTACACATTCCCTAGTAAGGATTGGTTTCATTGTGTGGACTGTTTTTTCAAAGAGTGACTCTAAGTTATGGTATCAACACTTATTGGATTATTTGAACCTAAATACTTAATATCAATAAGACAGCAGATATTTCTTTTGGACTCAGGGCATCGTGGAATTAAAAAAAAGAAGAAAGATTGAGAACTTCTGCTCTAGACCTAAGGCTCCATTTCATACCGGCCCATCTCCTATGCCAGCGAACCTGAAATCTCTTCCCAGCGCCCTCTGCAGGAAACCCTTCTATGCCCATGTCCATGGAGAACATGCCCTTTAGTGGAAAATTTACCATCTGCACAGAGATGGCCTCCATGTCCCTGGAGGGCAACAGGAATCCAGGAGTGAAGAGCAAGGGCACTGGGGACAGATCCTGGGCACCCAACTGCGTCTCCTTCTGCCTTCAGTGCCTTGTGTTTTAAAATGGGGGCAACAATGCCCACCTCACAGATTACTGCGCGGATTCCATGGCAAAAAATAGCCAAGGGCACTTTCAGTAACTATATATATCTCATATATATAATCTGAAATGCTTGGAGCAGCTCCTGGCACACAGGAAACCTTCCAATAAATGCCAGGCATTCCATATTTACGTATGTATGTCCCCGTTTCCAGCACAAGGCGGCTGGGACTCCAGGCTCCAGCTTCTCTGGAAAGGGGGCCGGGTTGTGGTTAGGGATGGTGCTAACGAGTCCCCCGGCGGCGGCAGAGAGCTGAACTCCTAGCCCCGCGGGGGGAAGGGCAAGGGCACGTTTGCCCTAGGTCCTTCTCATTTATTTTCATTCCATGGTGCCCAGAGGCCAAAAGAAATACCTGCCAGTTCATTGATGGTAAGTAATTAGGTTCAAATAACCTAGTAAGTGTTGATATCATAACTTCCCCTGCGTGCTCCCGGCACTCCGGGCGGCGGGCTGGGTCCCGGTGCACTGTGGCCGGGGGACAGCGCACCCTGGCTAACGGTCCTCGGGGTCCGTTCTCCTCTCCGCTCCCTCGGACGACAGGGCCCCCCCAGCCGCCCCCAATCACGTGACCGAGTCTCCTCCCGCTTCCGGCCTTCCCAAGGTCACACCCCCGGCCCCGGCCCCGGCCCCGGCCCGGCGGGCTCCACACCTGGAGCAGCTCCCGGCAGAAGGCGCGCACGGAGCGCAGGGAGGCGAGGTCCAGCTCCTTGACGACCAGCTCGCCCGCGCCGCCGGCGGGGTCCGCGCCGGGGTCGCCGTCCCGCCGGAGGGCGCGGCGCAGCTCCCCCGCCGCCGCCTCGGCGCGCGCGCGGTCGCGGCAGCCCATGATCACCCGCGCCCCCAGGCGCAGCAGCGCGGCGGCCGTGGCGCGGCCCAGGCCGCTGTTGGCGCCCGTGATCAGCACGGTCTTCCCGCGCATGAGGCCGGCCTCCCCTGCTCCGGGCAGCCGCCGGGCGCTGGAGCCCACGAACCGCCGGGCCGCCAGCCACAGGGCCCCGCCCAGCGCGGCCAACAGCGCCGCCACCGTGGCCACTGCCATAGCCGCCCCGGCACCGCACTTCCGGGAGCCACCTGGGCGCGAGGAACTCTGGGGCGCGGCCTGTGGTCCTCGAAGGGGTGGCGTGGGGCATGCTGGGACTTGTAGTTTTCCTTCGGAGGGCCCCTGCTGGCGCGCGCTGTGGGTCCTGGTGACTCCTTGAAGCAGGCTCCCTGCCTGAGGGTCCTGGGGGAGCACAGCCCCCGGTTTTCACAGGGGCCAGGGGGCTCCTGCCCAAGGAAATCCCTGAGTGGTGGCCGCCTTCCCCAGGCGAATGCTCAGTTCATATTTGTGAATTGCCAACTCTCTACATAGGCTGGTTTATAAATCCCACACTTCATGGATAGTGTAGTGTGTTTTATTAATAAGTTAAGGGCTCCTGGGACATGTTAACCCTCTCTTCAATTTTTCGCCCTCGAGAATTTTCCCTGCCCGCTAACGCCTAAGGAAGGACTCTAATCTGCCCCCTCTCCGCCCACTCCCCCTATAAATGAGGCCAAGAATTTAGCAACATGAATCAGTTGGAAATAGAATGGCCCGATGGTTGTCAAACTTTAGCGTCGTATCAGAATCACCCAAAGGGCTTGTAGAAAAGAAAAAACGAAACAAAACAAAACAATAACAACAAAACCCCCCTGAAATTTCAGGGCCTAGGCACCAGAGTTAGGAACTGAATTGGTTCAAGATGGGACCTGAGAATTTGCATTTCTAACAAGTTCCCAGCTGATTCTGATATGGTCCCTGTAGAAGGGGCATCCTCAAAGGGCCTTATCTGACACTGGCAGGAATACAGTAGGAAAATCTTGCACTTACTGTAAACATGGATTTCTGGCCAGGCCCCCTTCCACCCTCTCCATATGACCATTAAATGCATAACCGAAGTGGAAAGTGCTCTGTACCGTGGAACAAGCTTCAGCAATGCCGGGTTACTGAACAGGAACCCATCTTCAACACTTGTGACTTTAGCCCAATGGACTCTTATGTGATCATTCATCCATCTACTCATCCACCTAATATGTGCCGGCCCTTGGCCCTTAGGTTCTGGCAAAGCCACAGGGAACAGGGTGCTCACTTGTCTGGTGCAGAAAGTTCCACTGCCCCAGCCCCAATCTAGAATCTCCTGAGCAAGAGAGGATCCTCCCAATTTGTATAGTTGAAATAAATCCCTGTAAGATTTTGATAATAAAGCTCTCCTACCCTCCTTTACACTTGTGAAGGCTACAACATGTAACGATAGTCACGATACAAAGAGAAGAGGGGTAGAATGGCAGAAGGAGTGTCCTGTGAGTGCTGAGAGTGAAGCACGGGGGCGGGAAAGAGCACTCTCCCTGAGGATTAGGCGAGGCAGTGGGAACAGAAACCAGGAAGAGACCAGAGCCTTTGTTTCTCCTATGTGAAGCTCCCTGTACATTCTGTTAGCCTGGAACACATCTGTTTCCTGTCTCTCTCTCCAGTTTTATCTATTTTCTGCCCTTCAAAGCCCACCTCAGTTCTTTTCATTTCCTGACCACTGCCAGCCCATGCAGACATTCGCTTCAACCTCATCTGTGGCCCTCATTTGGCACCCGAGAACAGCCCTCTAGTGTTGGCTGTTAGAGTTTGCACATTTGACTTCATCCGTGATATTGGTAAGGTTTTAAGTTTCTTTGGGGGATTATGTCTGAGTTTCTTTGGTGGATTTGACATTGGGGAATGCATAGAAAACACTAGGTACTCAGTAAGTGTCATGACTGATATATTTTGGACTGGCTTACATCAAATTAGGAAGCAGATCAAAAGATGTATGCCAGCAGCATCTTCTTTACCTAGAGCCAGAGTGGAAATGGTATCAGTGGGTAGGGTGTGATGGAATAGAAGGAACATGAGAGGGAGAGGAGGAGAGAGGAGTGGAGGAGACCAGCTGTGTAACTGCTTTCTAGCTTAAGCATCTAATCTAATGGAATGACTAATCTGTTCAGGATGGGTTGGTTGTATGGCCATGGAATCAATAAGAAAAATTCAGTTTGGAAGATTGTATAACACAGGGAAAAAAAAATATATGTATGGCATTTGAAGTAAATAAGACCTGAATTTGGTTCTTAGTCCTACTATTTATTAGCTGCTGTTCTTGGACAAGCTACTTAATCTTTTTTGCAACTTAAGTTCTTCATTGATTGAAAAGAAGGGTAACAATATTATATCACACACACATGTTTGACTTGATGAGAAAATGAGGTAACATGAAAACATCGAGCTTACCATGCCTTATCATGTAGTAGATTATGGTTAATGATGTTTTTGAAAGCAAATCAATGGTAACAATGAGAGTGCAGGACACTACACTTCATGCCACATTTGAAGCCATGGCCACGGCTTAATATGCCACACAACCATAGGGCCAAAGCCAGCGACTTCAAAAATGTTGTCCACAGGCAATAAAACCATCAAATAAGCTTCAAAGAACCCTTCCTAGGAGGTTCTGCTTGGAGCTCGTATTAGATGGAATATGAATAACCAGCTGATTTATTTCTGAATGACTAGTGTCAGGTGGAGTGACATTTTCCTTTTGCATGGATTCAAAGTCTGGTCACAGAGGCAAAGAACTAAAAAGCTCTAACTTTCCAAAGTGTACTTAACCTACTCTTTCCCCCTTTGAAGACCACCATTCTATGATGATGATTTGTAACGATTTATTCTATTTACCAACATCCAAGAATGAGCAATGCATTGTAAGACCAAGGAGGCTTCTGAGGTAGCCTCTTAAGCATTCAATGGTTCAAATTCTAAATGTATCCTAAAGAGTCAGCATTGTGATTTACACACAAAGGAAGGCGCCATGGTATTCAACAGCATTGACATCTCAAAGAGAAGTAGCTTGAAGGTGACTTGAAGGTTCACAACTGTTTTCCAAAAGAATCAAGAGAGAACCTTTCCAAAGGAACTAAGTACTGAGGTCCAATCATCTGACATCCCTAACTAAATACCCTAGAGATCCACAAGAAGTGGCTTCTGTGATACCAGACTCACTGCTTTATTTCTCCTCCCCATCTCTAATTGTTCATTTTTTGAGTTATGCTATACGGTACATGAGGGGAGTTGGTGCCAAATTTCTGGGCCCCTTCAATACGGAACATGCGGTCATCAAAGAAGATGTGGGGCCGAATTTTCACCAAGATGGGACCTTTGGAGGCTCCTGCAAGGAAAAGGGCTTCATCTATCTCTAGACCCCAGCGGCGAAGCAATTTCAGCACTCGGGCACCTGAACTGGCTGCGTTTCTGGCGGTAATCAGGTAGGTCCTGATAGGACAACATAACCGTTGGTCTTTGGCAAAGAACTTCTTTTGCAGTCTGCCTAATTCTTCCAGAAAGCACTTCAGGGGACCCTGTAAAAGGAACAGAAGTCATAGCTGTGATCGAGTGAAGCCAATGAAGTGAATGCTGAGAAAACAGTCTTTTAAGAGCTTATAAAAGGATATATGCAGTATCATAAGGCCCATGGCACAATGCTGAAATGCCTGGCATATTGCCTCATGAGGAACCATCCTTGGGTTCCTTGAATAAATGTAGGATGGTGATATAATTTATTCTCTAAACAGATATTTTAAGAGTGAAAGAAATTTCTATTGACAAGTTAAACCAAGGCAACAGACATAAATAAAGCTATTCTAAATAAAGCTCAGTTAATTACCAAAAGTACTACTCTCTTAATTTGCTTTTTGTGAATTGCACATTTTAACCTTATAAGGTATACTTCTTTGTTTTGTTTCATACCTTTGTGGCATGGACCCAAGCTTGTCTTATACTTTTATCTTCAATTTTTAGTTTTAACTGTAGTACTATGGGAGCATAGAATTGGATTTTGCTATTTGATCCAATTTGGAAGTCTTGATTTTTAAAATAAAAGTTGACTTTTAGGACATTTATATTTATAAGTATTACACGGCAATGGTTCTGTCTTATGACTTTTATTGTATTTTTCATGCTAAAAGATTTTAAAGGATTGTTCAACAACAAGTGTCTTGTGTGTGTGTGTGTGTGTGTGTGTGTTCTAAGATTTAGGAAGGTTTATATTATTTCCTTCTACTGGTTACCTTTATAACTATAAATTTTTATAGTACTTTGAGTAGTCTTTTTTAAAAATCCAGGATTTATTACTTTTTACAATGAGAGATAGTGAAATTAAGCTACTTTTTTACCTCTTTTATCTCTATTTCTTTTTCAGCCTTCCAATTTTAATTGTTTACATTGATGTTATTAAGGATTCTCAGATTTCTATTTATCAGCTGTACATTTGATGCTGTGATCAGCTATTGTAGCTGAAGATATCAGCATATTTAGTCTTCCTTAGACCCTTTCCTCTATGTTTCTCCAGCTTTCATTAGTTACATAATTTCTATATAAGGGCATGTATATGCACTTTCTTTTCTACTCCCTAATTTTTATGATTGTTTTAGTTTGGTTCTCTGATTAAATATATCCCAAGCCCATGTGTAACTTTGTCTTTCTAGTAGTCTACAAGAGTAACCAAAATGTAACTGATAAATGCAAAATCTAAAAAAAAAAAAAAAAAAAAAAAATGCTTTACCTACGATGGTATTTTAAGATTATCTTGTGGTAATTTGTTTTTAAATTGTGTGTGTGTGTGTGTGTGTGTGTTTGTAGCTCTTCCACATTTCAATAATAGTTAATGTATAATATAAAATGGGCTCTGAATTTCAGCAAAGCAGACAAATATAAAATATCACAAGTGATTTTCCTTGCAACAGTGAGCTTTGTTAACACTGAACAACTTCCTAGCATGAGAGCAGGTCTTCCAAAGTGGCTATTTAGGAAGGGCCTATAAAGTTAAACACACACACACAGACACACACAGTTTAACTGTAACTTAAGATTGGTTAGTAAGACTTTTCAGCTTTCAGTTTGTCTATTCATACTTTTACAAATGTAATAAAATATAATAAGGTGTCTCTACACTTCAAGAAGAGCTGATAAAAAGAGGTCAATTAAATTTCTTGGTAACATTCATAGATTAAGACTGAATTCTCCATTAGTTCACTTTGGAGAATATTTTGGTTCTTCAGATTTCCTTTGGTTCAGAAGCGTGGTTCATTTCAGACTGTGGCTTTAACACCCTCCCTTCAGTGTATGGACTGGTTCCAAAGAAAGTTCATGTTCAGTTTCAGATTGATTAGGTTTTCATAGTTCGCACTTATTTGAGGCTCATTCTTCGATTCCACTCAAGCTGTCAGTTGTACAGGTTTTCTCAATTAAGCAATGCCCTTTATTCAGTTTGAGGTTATAGAGAGAGAGGTTCAACAAATGTTTACTGACCTACTGGAAACGACCTTACTATTTTGAGAACCTGTTATGCAGAAATGGCTTATTGGTAAGCCACAATGCCTTTGTTACTCATAATTTGATGGGTGAAGTCATTATCATAAGATCATAGAAACATTTCCAAAAGGCTAGATAAAAGAATGTTTTTTTTAAGAAAAGTCCAAATAGGAGTTAACAAAAGAAAGGGAGAAAATGGCAAAGGATCAGAACTGAGGAGGGGCTGCCTAAAGTCATCTGACAGCCATCACAACGAACAAATAGCGGTATCTACTGGAAAAGAGGGAGATCAGAGTTAATTGGAGCTCCTTGAACCCACCTGAACAATAGGCTTAGTCTCACATTGTGCTTCATGTTGAAAGAATTTCTCCAGCCCGTGCTCCTTGGTAGAATATTCCATCTCCTCAGAGAAGAGGAGAGAGTCTCCATCAAAAGCCACACGGAGCTGCGAGTCACAGTAAGACATGTCTTTGCCTGTGTCAAACATGGTTGCAGCGGCGATCCCTGGAAGACCATGGGAACTGATTAATCCCACTCTCAGGGCCATGAGACGTAGTCTCTCCCATGAAAAAAAAACAATAAGCCCTCCCAGACCTTGCATTTCATCTCTAGCTCTTATTCCCTGAGGACTTGGCTCCTCTCCACAACCCACACATCTCAACACAGCTGTCCCTGCACCGCACTGGTTTAAGGAATAGGAAAGTGTCAAGTGGGTGTAAGACGATCACTGAGGATGTCCACCTCCAGAAAAGCCAAAGCCCTAGAAGATAAACTTCAGGGCTGCCACTTGCAGAAACCTCTTAAGGAAGTCCAACAGTAGGCATATGGGAAGCCCAATGGAACCTCTCCATGGACTACCGGGATCAAACCACGCCTCTACCTTCTTGTAGTGCTTCTTGGACTTTTTCATAGTCCGCAGACAGGTAGAAGTTGGTAAGATATGACTTCAAATAGCCGACAGGGCTTTTCCCACCGGTCAGACAGAAGCGGTCAATCAGCAAGCCTATTATGGGGCAAGAAAGACTCTGTTATGTGCCAGACTAAAGACAAAACCGCTACTGTAAATGCAAGGGAGAGCTACCTGAGGAATGACGGAGGGCCCACTGAGGTTTTAGAATTCCCTTCTGAGTGCCAATATGGGAAAATGAGAAGTACCCTCTTAGCACCAGTATTTTATATAATAGTTGATGTGTTTAATGCATGACAATTTAGGGAGCCCATCCACATTGCCATTGCCAGTGTAGTCTCACAATAACTGGCAGGTGTTATTGCCTTCGTTAAAGAAAAGGACACCAACACCTAAAATTTTGTCTAAACCCACTGGTTCCTATTGATTCTTGACCTTCAACTGCAGCCGCCTGAACTTGTTGCAAAGGCCAGTTAAGGTGTGATTCTATTTTAAGTACTCTTTCTGTCTTTCTTCAGTAACAATACAATAGTAATAAAAAGTTGTGCTTGGAATTGAACAATTTTTTTCAAAACATCAACAAAAGGTCTCTCTTTCCTGACTCAGAAGTTCAAATGGAATCAATAACAGACTGAACACTAATATACCATCAAATGTCTTTTAAATCAACAATTAGTACAAATACTAGATGCTGGTGAGAGGTTTGTAAAAAATACTATGGATGAGAGTACACATTGGTACAAGTGATCCAAAAAGTAATTTGACAAAATATATCAAGCACTTTTAACTGGTTTATACATTTTGACCTAGGATTGCATTTTGGGGCGACTTTATTCTAAGGGAATATTCTGCAACTCTGATAAAGATTTATGTAGAGATGTTTTGGTGCAGGATTATTAAAAAAGCAAAACATGGTTAAATAATATGTAAATAATTAAAGTATAACATGCATAGACTATATGTACTCAATCAGAGTGTTCATAGATAAATGATAAACTGTGCAGCTGCATATAACAAAAAGAGGCATTTTGAGTCTGACGCCCATATGGACCTAGAGAGTGGGCAGGGTCCTCCAACAGTTGAGTGCAAGTGTCTGTGGTGGTATTAACAAAATGCTCTCACTCTTTCACTTGTGCCAGCACTGGACATCTGTGACATCACACTGCACTCTACAAGCCTTACTTATATTGATTTAATGAACAGAAATTATGTGGTGGCACTGGGGCTTTAGAAATGCCTAGAACATTGTCCCTTATTCAAAGAGACAGTTCACTGAGGAGCCAGGCTTGTAAGCAGATAATTATAAAGGAACAAGGGCCAGAGCAGAGAGGTATACAAAATGCCTTCAACACCCAGAGAAGGCAAATGACTAACTCTTCTCCTGAGTGACAGGTTGTTATTCCATGAACGAGGCTGCATGAGAAGATTGGGCTCAGTCGGTTAATTAGCAGATTGAATAAGTGAATCACAAAGATGTTTCTGTGTGCTACTACCTTTGTGGGCTCAGTGTGGTGAGGGATAGAGAGACATAACTCACCTACTAAATCAACTCATCGCTGCCCTTTATTGAGTAACTAATCTACGCGTCTTCTATGCCAAACCTCTTACATATGTTATTTTCATGTCCTCACACTATGAAAGCTGCATTTTTGAAAAGCAAACATTTTTCAAAGTACATAGTTAGGTCAATACAATTTATAACTTGTAATATATCTTCATTATTTATACACTTTGCCCAATTTCAACCAAGCGTTTAAGTATGCCACATATACACCTTATCTTGGCTTGACATCCCCATAAAACTGATGTCACTTAGAAAATAGGCTCAAGTCCCCAAATAAGAAGCCAGGTAATTCCATAACAGGAAGAAGGGGATGGAAAGACTCCGAAGAGACTTTTGATGTGCAGGGAGCGCAGCCAGGGAAAACCCGAGTTTAAGAGTGGAAAGGCAAGGTGCGAACCTTGAAACCTTTCCCATGGATCTGCGGTGAGCAAGGGGTTTGATCACCCAGCTCAAGCCTCTGGGGTGACGGCCCCTTGAAGTCAGGTTCAGAAGGGAAGAACATAAACCAGAAATGCATCGCGGGGCCCGGGATTAAGACTTTGAAATTCACACTTGACAAGTTAAGTCCAGAGCTTTGGGCCCAGCTCTGGGCCGAAGTTAAAAATGAACATGGCCCCTCTTGCTCTGACATGGGCAAATAAACATTCCGCACGCAGAAGGGGGTGTCGGTATCAAAGACACTGCGTTCATTAGGCCACAGTTAGCACAACCACGTGGCCCCTCTCTTCCCGAGCGCCGAGCCCCGCTTCCACATGGTATTTATTTTACTTACCGTAGTGATTGACGCTGTTTATAAGCCGCACTCCCACTTGGGCATGGTTATTAGTCATCAGTACAATATCAAATAATTCGTGTTCTTCAGGATACAGATCGCGGAGTCTAGCATTGACATGCTGCAGGGCCTGTGGGTTACAAACATGAGCGTGTGTGTGTGTGTGTGTGTGTGTGTGTGTGTGTGTGTGTAAGAGGGTCGGGCAAGGTGAGCCCTAGGAGTCTGGAGGGAAGGGATTTCGTCAGGGTCAAAGTCAAGCTCTGAAAGGCGCTTCCCTGAGAGGTAGGGCTCCCTGGAGGTGAGGTGATGTCATTCATTTCTGTACTTTATGCCCCTCACACATAGGACTTCGGTCATTGATTAGTGAGTCCGTGGTAATATTTATTGAAATTGTTAACATTGGGTCTACTAGCATTGTCTCTGTTGAGTAGGCAGAGAGCAGGTTAGGCTAGCCCTTGTACAACTTTATTTTTTGTTTTGTAAAGGCTGATGGTTATTATATTGCTTGTCAACTATAAATGACATTCAATATCAGTTTATACTAGCACGGTGGTCAGACAATTATATAATTCCTGAAGTGACCCCCCCCCCACACACACACAATAATTCTAGTGCCTACTTGGCACCATACATAGGTATTACAATTTGATTGACTAGATTCCCTATGCTATACTTTATATCTCCATGAATATTTTGTAATTACCAATTCATATTTCTTAGTCCCTTCCCCTTTTTGACCCAGCCCCGCAAGGCCCCTTTCTTCTGGCAACCCTTAATTTGTTCTCTATATCTATGTGTCTGTTTCCTTTTTGTTTTATTTATTGACTTTGTTCTTTAGATTGCACGTGTTCGCAAAATCATAGGATTTGTCTTTCTCTGCCTGACTTGTTTCACTTAGCATACTTTATAGTCCATCCATGCTGTTGCAAATGGTAAGATTTCATTCTTTTTTTATAGCCAAGTAATATTCCACGGGATATATGTACCACATCTTCTTTATTCCATTGACTATTTATGGGCACTTGGATGGATGCTTGTTTTTTATTGTGAGAAATATAGAATGCTCCATGAATCTGCATAGTTACCCTTGCACAGGGGCCATGCTAATGGTCTGTGTTGTTCCAGTTTTAGTGTATGTGTTGCCAAAGACCACTATGCCCATTTCTAAGCAGGAGTCTTCAGAATAGGTGTGTGGCTTCCTCCCTTGCCCTATACATACTCTCTACTTACATTGGAGATGTCATTTGTTTCTGCCTGGTTATGATGCTACTGTGTAATATTTGTGTAAATTATATTGTATAGGCGATCACAGTGAAAGGGCTATACATGTCTGTATAAGTTTAGATAACTGTACTTCATTAAAATCATGCCCCTAAGTGCCTAGAATATCTTGATTTTTTTTTAAATGTGCTAGGTTTGGGGCAAAAGCAACAAGAATGAATTTCATCTCATTTTAAAGTTTTAAGGAGATGTTTTATTCTGCTAGTGCTTGGAACTGTAAATTCATATATTTTTTTCTAACTACTGCTCCTTCTAAGGAGGGAATTGGTCTCATGGTTGGGACTCCACTTAGGAAAGCAGAGCCTCTCAGATCTAGGCCCAGTCCTCCCTCAGCATTCTGGGAGCCTCTGTGAAAGCAGAAACCAGACTGGGGTCAATTCCAAAGGCAAGAATGGCAAAGAGGGACTAGGGACTGTGAGGGAACCTGGAACCTGGAGGAGACAGATCCCCAGGGTGGGCCTGGGTCCTCCCGGTACCTTGACGAAGCGGAAGGCGGGTCCCGGCGTCAGGATGACGTTCTCGTTGCAGAGCTGGTACTCCATGTACTTTTCCAGGCCCTCCTCCTCGTAGACTTTTCTGCCGTCCACCATGTTGAACAGAGCCCGGGAGGACACAGCGATGGTGAGGGCGTGCTTGGGTTTGGCCTGCAGACAGAGGGGCCAGGGACAGGGGCGGTCACACAGGTGGGAAGCGGTCAGGAATAGGACTCATCCCAGGGCAGGGTGGGAAAGACACAGATGGGCCCTTACTTGGGGCACTGGGATGCTGGAAACAGCTAAGGCCTGGACCACCTCCCCAGCTCCACCTCCCACCCTCTACTCACCTAACCCCCACCCCATCACCACCACCACCACCACCATAATCATCACCACCATCACTATCACCACCACCATCACCACCTCCACCATCACCATCACCATCACCACCACCATCACCACCTCCACCATCACCATCACCATCACTATCACCACTACCACCACCACCTCCACCATCACCATCACCATCACCACCACCATCACCACCTCCACCACCATCACCACCACCACCACCACCACCACTACTACCACCACCACCACCATCACCCTCCCACCTCCACCTCCCACCCTGTTTTCCCCTAACCCCCACCCTATCACCACCACCACCACCGCCACCACCACCACCACCATCACTACCACCATCGCCACCACCTCCACCACCATCACCACCTCTACCACCATCACCACTACTACCACCACCACCACTACCACTACCACCACCACCATCACCACCACCACCACCACTACCACCACCACCAAACAACACCACCACCACCACCAAACAACACCACCACCACCATCACCCTCCCACCTCCACCTCCCACCCTCTACTCCCCTACTCCCACCCCATCACCACCACCACCACCATCACCACTACCACCATCACTATCATCACTACCACCATCACTACCACCATCGCCACCACCACCACCGCCACCTCCACCACCATCACCACTACCACCACAATCACCACCTCTACCACCATCACCACTAACTACTACCACCATCACCACCACTACCACCACCACCACTACTACCACCACCACCACCATCACCCTCCCACCTCCACCTCCCACCCTGTATTCCCCTAACCCCCACCCTATCACCACCACCACCACCACCACCACCACCACCATCGCCACCACCACCACCGCCACCTCCACCACCGCCACCTCCACCACCATCACCACCACCACCACAATCATCACCTCTACCACCATCACCACTACTACCACCACCACCACTACCACTACCACCACCACCATCACCATCACCATCACCACCACTACCACCACCACCAAACAACACCAACACCACCATCACCCTCCCACCTCCACCTCCCACCCTCTACTCCCCTACTCCCCACCCCATTACCACCACCACCACCACCACCACCACCACCACCACCACAGTCATCACTACTACCAACATTACCACTACCACCATCACCACAATCACCACCACCACCGCCACTACCACCATCACCATCACCCCCAACCTCCACCTCCCACCCTCTACTTCCTTACTCCCCACCCCATCACCACCACCACCACCATCACCACTACCACCATCACTATCACCACTACCACCATCACTACCACCACCACTACCACCACCACCACCACCACCACCACCACCACCACCACCAGAGACTGCAAGAGGAGCTTTGGGATGCACTTGGACTTCCCTCCAGCATGGAGAGGAGAGATGCTGGGAGGGGTGTGGGCTCTGGGGCTGCGCAGAGGGGGGCCCAGGCTACCAGGCTCTGCAGGCTCTGCTCACCGGACGGGGGCGTGAGCAGCCCGGGTTCTTCTCGTACAGTGTCCTCACTGATGACCAGTAGGCCTCCTCGTCGTCGTCATCATCATCCCGCGGCCGGGCCATGTCAGCCATGTAGTCCCGGTCCTGGGAGTTGTAGGTGTTCCGGCGCTGCGAGTAGGGCTTCCATTCCAGGGGGGGCGTGCGCGGGTAATCCCGCTGCTGTGGCTCCCGGGAGTCCCTCGGGGACCCCCGGGAGTCCCGGCCGTCCCGGGCATCTCGGGCATCCCTGTCCCTGTCCCTGTCCCTGTCCCTGTCCCTGTCCCTGTCACGTATCATGCTGTGGTTCCAGTTGTCATGGGTCTCAGGCATCTTGATGCTGCGCCCGGTCAAGGGCTGAGGCTGGGGCTGAGGCTGGGGCTCCAGGGGCGTGCAAGGATTGGAGTCCACGGGCGTGAGTGGCGTGCGCGGCGTGGGTGGCGTGCGCGGCGTGGGTGGCGTGCGCGGCGTGGGTGGCGTGCGCGGCGTGGGTGGCGTGCGCGGTGTGGGTGGCGTGCGCGGCACAGGCGGCGTGGACGGGGTAGCGTGGTCTGCTAGCTCGTGCTGGGACTCCGTCTGGCTGTGGGTGGTGGAGGAAGTCCGGGAAGTTGTGGAGCTTGTGGGGGCCTGGAGCAAGAAAATTGGCATCTGAGAGGCACTCTGGTCTTGGGACCCCTGTCCCCCAACCCAGCAGGAGGCAAGGAGCTGCCCCTGGCCTCTGGTCCTTGCTTATCCTTTCATTGGCTCCTGGTTCACCTCAGCTTTTTTGTTTTTATTTTTATTTTTTTATTTTATTTTTTCTCTCTCTAGCTAGAGGCCCGGTGCACAAAATTTGTGCACAGGGTGGAGCAAAGGTGGGGTGTCCCTCAGCCCATCCTGCATCCTCTTCAATCTGGGACCTCTCAAGGGATGTTCATCCCTCTCACAATCCAGGACTGCTGGCTCCCAACTGCTTGCCTGCCTGCCTTCCTGATCGCCCCTAACCACTTCTGAATGCCAGCCTGATCACTCCCTAACCACTCCCATGCCAGCCTGATTAATGTCTAACTGCTCCTGTGCCAGCCTGTTTGCTCCAACTTCCCTCCTCTGCTGGCCAAGTCACCTCTAACTGCCCTCCCCTGCAGGGTTGATTGCCTCCAATTGCCCTCCCTTGCAGACCTGGTCCCTCTCAACTGCCCTCTCTTGCAGGCCTGGTGCCTCCCAACTGCCCTCCCCTGCTGTCCATCTTATGGTGGTCATTTTGTGTCCACATGGGGGCAGGATCTTTGACCACATGGGGGCAGCTGTTGTGTGTTGGAGTGATGGTCAATCTGCATATTACTCTATTTTATTAGATAGGATAGAGGCCTGGTGCACAGGTGGGGGCCGACTGGTTTGTCCTGACGAATGTCCTGGATCAGGGTGGAGTTCCCTTGGGGCGTGGGGCGACCTGTGCAAGGGACTTGTGGTGGTTTGCAGGTCAGCCATGCCCCCCGAAGAGCCAAGCAGAGGCCCTGGTATCTGGAATTTATTTACCTTCTACAATTGAAACTTTATAGCCTGGAGTGGAGCCAAGTCTCCCGCTCAGTCTGTGGCTGCCGCCATTTCTGTTTGAATTTGTTTACCATGTATAATTGAAACTTTGTATCCTTGAGTGAAGGCCTAGGCCGGCCAGGGCAGGTGGAAAACTTGGCTTCCTCTATTGCTGGGGCAACCCTAGCTGGCTCTCTCCAGCTCTGTGCTGCCACCATTTTTCTTGGGATTTATCTTTTATAATTGAAACTTTGTATTCTTGAGTGGAGGCCTAGGCTGGCCAGGGTGTGTGGAAAGCTTGGCTTTCTCTATTGCCAGGAAAACCCAAGCCTCTCAACTGCTATGGCTGGAGCCATCTTGGTTGGGGTGAATTTGCATACTAGCTCTGATTGGCTGGTGGGCATGGCTTGTGGGCATAGTGGAGTGATGGTTAATTTGCATACCACTCTTTTATTAGGTAGGATTATCTTTATTGATCCTTCTTTTTTTTGTTACCTCAGCTTCTGCTCATAGCTCATTCTTTTTTTAAATTTCTTTATTCATTAAGGTATTACATATTTGTCTTCATCCCCCCCCATTACCTTCCCAACCCCCCCACTCATGCCCCCTCCCCACTGTTGTCTTTGACCACTGACTAGGCTTATATCCATGCATACAAGTCCTTGGTTGATCTCTCTCCCTTACTCTCACCCTCCCCTACCTTCCCTCTGAGACACCTCAGCTCTTTTAAGTGGGGCTTCAAGGGGCTTAGACATTTCAAGGCCCCAGATATTATTAGTTTCTGTTAATAGACATGGACACAGTCAGCTTTCATTGCTCCCCCTCCCCCATTACTCTTATTTTATTTTATTATTTTTAGTAGTAGCTGGGGCACAGGCTCTCTTTCTTACCCTTAGCAGATGGCATACCCTTTGCAAAGTGCTGTCATTTGACTTTTGTATGGATACCTGCCCAGTCAGAGACTTCCAGGGAAGTTTGAGTAAAGGGTCTTGCTTGCCGCTGCCTCCATTTGTGACCTCTGGTTAACTCCATGAGCACCTACACCAGATGTTCTCCCCAAAAGACTCTACAGAGCACCTAGGAGACATGTCTTTGCCCTGTGACTAAGGTGTGATCCCTGGAGGCTGCGAGGCTGCATAGCCCAGTGTTTCCCTTCCACTGGCGTATGCGGAACTCCAGAGAGTAATCTTCCTAAGTAGGAAGGAACCATTCTAGACACGGCTCTCCTTTACTAAGGTGTGCAATAGATCATCAGGCACCCATATGTTATTTCCGTTGCTATGAATGTTTTGCATATTTTGAAAAGGCATTTTCTTGGTTAGATTATTGAACCAGTGTGCACAGAGCTAGATGGATGGATGGGAAGGTAAGTTTTCCCAGTGGTGGGATCTGTGCAACCCGCTCTGTGCAACCAAGAATTTAATCTCAAAATGAACTTTTTCTTCTACGTAAGGGCCCAAAGCACTACACAAAGACTCATCAGCAATTTATCTTCATTGTTGACCTTTCCAACCTTCGTTCTTACTCTTGAGTACTCCACAGTTTCGTGGAAGGAAGAGAGGAAGGAAGAAACCATAAAGTTGAATCATTTCAGTGTAAATGATTAAAGATGTAGCGACCTTGAATTTTAATCTAGCTCCATTAGCATTATTAATGTAAAATCTTAGGCAAGTTATTCTATGTGGTTTTTCTTTTTTCAGCTGTGAAATAAGTGTTATTAGGGGCAGGGGAGTATAAGTATATAGAACAGGGGCTGGCACGTAGAAAGCATCAACAAATGTTAACCATCATCATCAGAAGTATCATTACTGTTGTTACTATTATGCTGTCACGTACTCCATCCTTTCATCCCCATATCTACCTTAAGTATGGTGCTCTTGCTTCTTTGTTCTTCTGCGGATGGGACTCTGGGGGTTGTGTTCCGTGAAGTTCCAGACCACTGGCTTCGCACGACGTACCCTCGAGACTCTGTCTTCGGCAGTACTTCTTGTGATCCCTTTTGAGGAGAGAAGAGATCCAGGGGTGTAATATGCCACCAACCAACCCCCACCCCCCATGCTCGTGCCTACAGAATAGCCATGTCCAGCTAAACAAAGCAAACCCCACTGACAAGATCGCTGGCCACTATGACCCTTAATTCAATCTGGCCCAGTCCTCACTTCATGGAGGATCAATAAAGTGGGATATATCTGAAAGAACATTCAAAAGCAAGAAACAAATCTGACATCTCATCTTTTTTTTCACCTGTCACTCTTCAGTGGTCCTTCATAGAGATGACCATTGTTTCTCCCTTTCCCCACAGTTCCCCTTAAGAATAAGCCTATGAACAGATGCTAAAAAGACATATCCCCATTTTTTTTTATGAGACTACAAAGATGAGGGCAGCTGGTCCCTGAACAAGGCTGTAACAAGGCTCCAATGTGTAAGAGGGAATAGAGCACTCTAGCACTCCCTCTGAGCGGAACCACAGGGAAGGAGACCACGGAGAGGTGAGGGGAAGAGTTTCTGTGTCCCACATCCTCCCCCTCACCCAGACTGACTGTGGCTCCCCTACAAAATCAGTAGTTGGATCTCTGCTCACCCTGATCATGGTGACCTGCTGGCCCTGATTCGAAAACAGGCACATGTGAATATAAATTCGTAATGTGCGGCAGGGGCCAGGAAGGACTGTTCCCTCAGCTGCACTAAGGCAGTGTCTACACGACAGATGAGGACGCATGGGGCAACATCTCAGCCAGTGATTCGGATTGACTGCACGCCTCATCTGAAAGATTGGGCAGAAAATAGTCAATGCGATGGCCAGACTCCCCTGCCCTCCCTGACTTGAACAAAGACCAGTCTCCTCCCCAAAGGCTGAGCAGAGGAGATGGCTTTGGTTTCTACACTGTATTTTCCATGGGAACATGGGGACATGTACTGTAGGGAAGGCAGGGACCAGCTTCTCCTAGCTTTTCCTTAACCTCTCCATCAGAAGTATTGTATCCCTTAATACAAACCTCAATAGCTCAGTCTCCCAGAACTCCCTTTCCCAGAATATTTCTATTATGTTTTCTGCTTTTTTAATTCTCTCATCAACTATAAAATAGTCAACTCACCTGAGAGCTGAGGCGAACTGATCTTTCAGATTCCCGTCTTTTCTCCGTTTCTAGATTGTCTTTTGAGTATTTTGGTGTAGAATCATTCTTAATATAGAAACAAAGGATATTTATTAATTTTAATCTCAAGGGCATTAGAAACTTGGGGCTTGGGGACAAAAGGATACATTAAAATTAACATTCATCTCTTTGCTAATATATTTAAAGTTTGACATTTTTTTGCCCTGTTCTGCTAAGCATGAGTAAAAACAATTCAAAGGACTATATAATTTTTAAGGTAGAAATTCGGTGGTTTATAGGTTTGAGGCATGAGGCATATATCAATTAAAATTTGTAATACGGGCCCTAGCTGGTTTGGCTCAGTGGATAGAGTGTCAGGCTGCCGACTGAAGAGTCTCAGGTTTGATTCCAGTCAAGCACATGTGCTTGGGTTGCGGACTCCATCCATAGTAAGGGGCATTTAAGGAGGCAGCCAATCAATGATTCTCAGCATTGATGTTTCTAGCTCTCTCTCCCTCTCCCTTCCTCTCTGAAATCAATACAAAAAAAGCTTTTAAAAATTGTAGTATGTGATATGCTGGGGAAGAATTATCCAGGGATCAGCAACTGTTTTCACCTCTCAAAACTAACATATGCGCCCATCCTCCCTAAGTGCTGATTTATCAGGTGGACTTCTATTGTATACTTTAATCTCCTTTTCTCCCCTCTGATCATTTACTTCTGCCTCCATTTTCCCTACATGTAGTAGGGAAATAATTTGATATTTCATCTGAAATAATTCCATAATTTCAGAGAAGCCCCAGAGGTCAATGAAGGATGGATATTTAACATTCCTTGACTCTTTGGTAAGATTCTAGGATGTCTACTTCACTCACCTTCTTTTTCTGTTTCAGAGATGTTTGACTCATTTCTTTAACTATTGAAATTCCTTTGCTGTTATGCAGGTGTTCATCTCTCCAGCGCCATTTTCTGTTTCTTTTGTTGCTCAGTCCAGGCGTGCATAGAATGTCAAATTTATGACATCACATGTGACTCCATAGTAACAAACTGACTGGGAATACATGACTATAAATGTGACTTATTCATATATTTGAGTACAACCACTCATCATTTTCTGGGTCTTTAGGAATTGATATTTGAACACCCAAATATTTAATATGTAGCAATATTAATTCTACAACTTCCTTTTAAAATATCTCTTAGCATTACTGTATCACTCAGCACATCAATCCCATATATGGCTGTGCAATTTCTGGTACTGTCAAAATTAGTGACAAACTCATTTGTGGACCCAATCATTTATTATCGTTCATCCTGACAGAGTTTGGAGAAGTTTCTGCAAATATAGAGGCGACTTTTGCCAGCTGAGAATTTGTTCTAGAGATGGAGGTTAGACTTCAGTTTAGCTTTAGTGTCTGGTGTTTCTTTCACAGCAAGACCATTTTTGTTTCATAAGGTCAAAGCATTTTCCCTCTGGCTGGACAGTGTGGTAGAATAATCCTTATACTGTCTGTCTTGCTATTCATCCTATCCTTAAACATTTAAACACACATATGTCCTTTCTGTGTACACACAGAGAAGAATATGTAAAATCCAGTCCCCAGCTTGGGTTTATAGGCTCCAATAATATTCGTCTAGTTCTGATTTTATCTTTACCCAAGTTCCATGCCAATTTGAGTTGGTCAAATCATCAGGAATTGAGACAGATTTCTGGGACTCTCTTCATTGGAGTTGAAGCTTAGTTTGGATATCAGGAGAGGTTTTAGATAGCCTTAATTAAAGTCCTCTGAGGGGTCTTCTGGAGAATAAAACATGCAGGTTCCAGGTTACACTGCCTGGGTTTCAATCCTTTCACGTCCCATATCACCGCGATCCTCAGTAGGTTGTTTAATTCCCATAAGTCTCAATTTCCTCAGAAGGTGGAGATAATAATGATATCAACATCAAATGATAGTTGAAATTTGATGAAATATTTCAGTTGAAATAGTATGAAATATTTAAGACAGTGGCAGTTGAAATAGCATGAAATATTTAAGACAGTGGTTGGCATGCATAAGCTTTTAATCCATGTTAGCTATTGCTTTTTTCCCCATATTTTTGCCACAGCTGCACTGTAGAGTTCAAAGAGAAAAATTTTTAATTTAATTCCCATTGCAATCTAGGAACAGAATTTTAAAATTATTTACTATGTGCATACTTCTATAACCAATAAAGTGTCAGTTTAATTCTTTCCATAGTGTTAGTGACAGAGCAAGAGGGCAGGCACTAGAGTAGCAGTTGGGAATGAAAGCTGGTGAGCTCTGAGACTCAAGTTCTACAAATTAGGACAGGAAGACTTTACAGAGATGAGGGCTTGAGAGAGTATTTGGTTTCTGACTGGTCCTTCTAGCCTATACTCACAAACAGCTTTTGCTTTGGGTCTCTTCCTGTAATTCAGCATTTATCTAGTCAATAAGTTTTGGTCTTCTCCCATCATACATAGCCTAGAAGAGATTACAAGGCTAATGACTATTTAAATTATTTTATGTATTGAGATATAAATATATAACTAATGATTTCATTCAAAATGATAAGAGTGACATTAAAGAATGATTTGTGCTTTTTTCAGATTTTATTTGTTTTTTAAAATTATTTTCTAATTCTTTACTTTGTTATTGAGCATGGAAAACTACGCATACATGCAGGCTGCTTTATTGGTCAGGGTTCTCCAGAGAAACAGAACCAATAGGATATCTATCTATCTATCAATTTACCTACCTACCTACCTATCTGAATATAAATATAGATATGTAGAAATATAAAAAGAGATTTATTATGGGAATTGGTTAATGTGATTATGAAGGGTGAGAAGTCTCACAGAATGTCATCTGCAAGCTGGAGAACCAGGGAAGTTAATGGTGTAATTCAGCCTGAGTCTGAAGTGCAAAAAACCAGCCAGGATGATGGTAGAAGTCCCAGTCCGAAGGTCAAAGGCCTGAGGGGATGTTGGTTGAAGTCCTGGAGTCTGAAGGCCCATGTGCCAGGAGCTCTGATGTCTCAGGACAGGAGGAGAAGCTGGATGTCCCATTCAAGAAGAGAGAGTTTTCCCTCCCTCCAACTTATTTAGAGCCTCAGGATATTGGATGATGCCTGTCCACACTGGTGAAAGCAGCCTTCTTTACTTAGTTTACTGATTCAGATGCTGATCTCTTTCAGAAGCACCCTCATAGACACACACAGGAATAAATGTTTACCAGCCATCCGGGCCTCCCTTAGTGCAGTCCAGTTGACACATAAAATCAACCATCACAGCAGGGTTTGGCTTAGACTCTTCTCTGCATGAGTTCAACCTTGGTAATAAGCTAAGATGCAACAGAATTGTGACCTTTTTATGCAGCCTTTCCAAGTCACCAAAAATTGGTTATGATACTGAAATTATCTTTGTCGGTTCTGGTTGTGGATAATATTTATTTATTTATTTATTTATTTATTTATTTATTTTTAATTTCTTTATTGATTAAAGTATGAACCTAATCAGTGGTCAAGGACAATAGGGGGGTAGGGGTATGAGTGGGGGTGGTGAAGGATTGGAATAGGGGGTTGAGGATAATTTTTTTTTTTAAAGGAACTCCTTAAAAGGCATTTGGGAATACCACAAACTTGGGAATATCTATGTGAGCACGCTCCATCCATTTTGAAAACTATTTTTGATTCTTGCCACGGTTACCCATTCCCTTGGCCATGTGAAGAGGAATACTGTAGTTTGTGGGACATGTACATGCAAACACTCTGGCACAAAGCCGGTAAGTGGCAATTCCTTGCCCAAAATGTTGACTGGAGTCAGATGTGCGTATACCTAGGCTCTGCCCAGTGGCGTTTATGCCAGCATTCTGCTTATGTAGGTCAAGGTGGCAAAGTACAAAACCTGGGAAGGCTATCCAGAGAGGAGAGAATGTCATTCAGAATTCACCAGTGAAGAACAGTGGAAGTTCTTATTTCTCGAGTCGGTCCATCTTGATTACCCACGTGACTCAGGTGTTACTGCAGATTCAGAGGGCTGTGTGTGTGGCCCCTGGAGCGAAAGTATTGGCTGGATTAGAAAATAAAATAAAACTAGACACTGGTGATTTAGAAAAGTATTTTTGAAAAATTTTCTGGGGTGAGTCTGAAAGGTAATAAAGGCATATAAAGTATAAGGCCTTAGAAATAGCAGTGCCAATTCATTTCTGTGTAGACGAGGGCTCTGAGCTTTAATTCTCCCATCTGTAAAGCAGGAATTAAATGTACTATACGTTGCGTAATTTTGTTGTAAAACTTGAATAAAATCATGCAACTAAAAGGACATAGCACAATTTCCAGTAAGTTTTTAACAACACAAACCTCCACGGCAATTTTCATTCAAAAATATCTGCATGTTGCACAGGGGGAAAGGTTAGTTGGAAAATGACTAAAGGGCTTGAAAATCGGGCAGGCGCCATACAAAGGGGCGACCCCTTTCACACAAAGGCCCGTGTCACATTGGGTCTTGCTCTGTTTAAAAAAAAAAAAAATCATGAGGCATTTTTTCCACTTTTCATTCAGCTTAGCCAAAGTGGTCTATGCTCACCTCCTTTTTCCTCCATCCTGCCTTCAACACTCACTTTCCTAAGCAAAGTTAACAAATGATCCCATTCCTCCCATTAGCAACAGCCATTAGCAAGAATGTTCGACACTCACCAGCATTAACCGAGCCCTAATTAGCCCAACACTGCCCGCCACCCCCTCACAATGCACACCTTTCTTTCCCCACGCCTGCTCCGGCTCTCCTAAAAGAAACATTTGTAGGCTCCCCTTCTCGGCCCACTCTCCCTCACATCATTAATCAGCTGGCCATGCCTCATCCAAAGGGAACAACATTATCCCGTTTCCTGTTGTATGCAGGCCAGATGCACAAGTGCTAAGTAGGACTTCCATGTGTGTCCTCCTTGTGTGCGTGTCACAGCTGCACCTGGAGCCGTGGTGTGCTGGGGACGGCCGCCCCGGCTTTCCCAGTGCCTGTCTGTAAGCTGTCTAGTCTCTATGACGTCCTGTCCTGATGATTCTGCTCGCCAGATGCAAGCCTTGCGTAGAGCAAAGCAGGGCAGTGCCTCTTGGCCTGGGACCTTCAGCTTGCTGTCCATCAGTTTGCTCAGAGATCCCACAATCAAAGAGGGCTGAAGGGGACAGAGAGACTTTATTAGGTGGCTTTAAAAGAGGAAAAAAAATTACAAAGAAGAAAGAGAGGGTTGAATGCCTATGTATACACACGTCACGCTGCCCCTGCACTGTCACCAACCGATTTCCTGGGCATGGGTGGCAGGGATCAAGAGCTCTGGTGGGCAGCTGCTCACGTTCTAGCAATGGGCAGCCTGTTGCAGAGCAACACCCCTGTGGTCTGCAGGCTGGGCTTTGAACGCAAGTGCTGCTGCTGCCCAGGGGTCTCTGCACGTTGCTTAACCTCACGGATCTGTAAAAGAGGAATGATAATAATCCCGACCTCACAGAGAGAGGGAAAACAAGGAACCTGGAGGCCACAGCGCAACGCCTGGCACAGAAGAGCCACTCAGGACCCATCCTCTTCCCAGGTCCCCTGCCTCCCGATTCACCTGCATAAACACAGCGCAGGGCCTCTGGGGAGGGTTTGATCTGGACCATGTGACCCCCTGGGGAGGACCTTGCCCTGAACTTCAGTGCCCCGTGAACAGCAGACCGGGAGTCTTGTCCCTCTGTTTTCTTTGGGCCTGCTTTGTATTTGGGGTCTGTGTGATTTCCTGGCAGCGGCCCCGCTGGTGGTGAGAAAATCTGTGTGTTTGCTGTGTGAGGAGCAAGCAGCTTATTTCTGGGGGTGCCCCTCCCCCAGGGCCGTTGCAGAATGTGGGTCAGCGAGGCATGTCCCTCCGTGCAGCGCCCT